TATAGCTCTATTGTCGACACACATTCACCATTTCCCATCTTTTTTTGGTACAAGGAGAGCGGGCACCGCACAAGGACTCAAGCTAACTTGAATAAGTTGCTTTGCCAGTAAATCCTCCACAATCTCCGCTAAAATTGTTTGCTCTTTTGGGTTAAGCCGGTAATGGGCCAAATTCGGCAAGGGAGCTCCCGGTATAAAATCGATCTGGTGTTGGATACTCCGGAGCGGTGGTAGCTCGGCGGGTAATTCGTCCGGTATGATTTCAGTAAACATCTCAAGGATCTCGGCAATATCCTTGGGCAAAGCCTTAGGAGGTATACTGGCATTCACTTCCGCAATGACTAATGCTAGCAACTGCGAAGGTTCTCTCCAACATTGTAGCAGAGTTGATCCAGAGACAAGGTGAGCGGCTGCTTGTTTGTTTGCTCCTCTAGCTGCTACAATTCCTTCGGACATTCCTGGCAACAACCTCAATTTCTGTCCCTTCCAATCAAAGGAATACGCATTGGCCCTTCCCTCATAGTGAGCGTCGACGTCGAACTACCAAGGCCTTCCTAGGATCAAATGACATACGTCCATGTACGTCCAGGACATCGCACAACACTTCACAAACATAATGTTTGCCAATAGAAAACGTGACGGTGCAGGCTTCGGAAACCACGATCTCTATACCCCGCTTTACCCAACCAATTTTATACGGCTGAGGATGCTTGGATGTCTTCAATTGTAGGCCGTTAACAACTGAACGGGATACTATGTTCTCAGTGCACCCGCTATCAATAAGGAGGTCACATACTTTGCCATTTATGGTGCATCTTGTTCTAAAGATGGCGTGGCGTTGAGATGGATTGGGCCTCCGTGGCGCTAATAGAAACTTCTCCATAACTCCAAGGAAAGGCTCTCCCTCATCCGCCTGCACTTCTGCAACATCAGCTTTCTCCTCTATTTCAGCCATTGTTGTTTCGTCTTCCTCTTCTAGACCAGCAAACTGCAGTTGCTGTCGTTGGGGGAATTCATTGGACTTGTGTCCAGGTTCAAAACAACAAAAACACTTCAGAGTAGTGGGGCGGGCATACGGGTTGGCGTTAGCAGTTGGCTTCAGTTTATTCATCGTCCTTCCTTCACCGACCGGATTAGCAGTTCCACTTACGGAGGTGCCCATATTGGCTGTCGGGTTTGATTTCATCGCCGAGTGGGAACTGTTCTTAGAACCGACTGTGTTCGGTTCTTGCCAATGCCTTCGGCTATATGGGGTTTTAGGATGTCGGTTCTGCTAAATTTTTACTTTCATTGCTAAATTCACCGCCTGTGGCATTGTCCAAACTGAATTGAGCTCCAATTTATCTTGGATGCTATCCTTAAGGCCCCCAATGTATCTTGCCACCATTTGAGTACCCAATTCATGTAAATCATTTCTGGCGCTCAACCTATTGAGTTCCTTGGTGTACTCGCTAACAGTGCGTGCCCCTTGCATATAATGTTGATACCTCATGTAAAGTATTTGTTCAAAATCCGTGGGTAGAAACTGTGCCCTTAGCAGATGTTTCATCCGGCCCCATGTATGTATACGGCTTCGCCCCTCTTTCCGTCGGCTCTGCAAGACCTGTTCCCACCACGCACTAGCACCGCTCTTCAGCCGACACGCTACGTATTTGACTTGCTTATCAGGGGTGATTTCCATATAGTCAAAGAAATTCTCGACCGCCTTCTCCCAGTCTAGATAGTCTTCGATGTGCAAATGTCCGTCAAAAAACGGAATGCCTAATTTCACTTTGAATTCACCAGGGAAGTGTGGGAAATGTTCCATCCTTCGGTGCCGGCGCCCATTCGCTATCCATCTATCCTCTGACTCTTCTTCACTGGAATCCCTCGGATTGTCGCCGCTACAGCGAGGTGGTGTTTCATCTTCAGAATTAGCTGGATCAACGTGGTTTGTCGGTACATATCTGCCCTGATGGCCATGAGTGTGTCGTCCGCGAGGAGGTAACCTATTTGCAAGTAATTCCTCCCGATGGAATGGTGGTGGATCTCTCGCCATATTGGGATTGAACCCTTGGCGGAATGCAACTGTCAGTCGTTGCACGTCGACGGCGAGCTCATCGATCCTCCGATTGATCTTCTCCTGGCTCGCCCGTATCCCGTCGATGGTGCGAGCTTCTTCCCTCACAGGTTCCTTGCCGCGGTCAGTCATTTTCTTCCAGATTTTTGGCTCTAATACCAAATTTGATGCCCTTGTACAGGATCAGCAATACCTGGAAGAAGACACAAATGCAAGAACAAAAAATGTAGGGAAAAGGCACAGGAAATACCTCTATATTGCTCTGTATTCTCTCTAGGAATACTGTAAAAGTTTAAGATAACAAAAGCTGCTTCTCTAGTTCCGCCCCACCTATATGTATCCCCTGTTTCTCCCCCGTATTCCCTCTTTTGTGAAATTATAAAATAAAGATAATAAAATGCAAAAGGTGCTGTCAGAAAAAGTGCTAAAGTAATACTAGGTAGTGGGGATTCTGTTGAACAAACCAGCGTGTACCGCCAGCCTTATTTACTTATACTGGGCTGCATCAGTTTATGATTATAATTTGACAAGTTCATATAATTTATATTCGTTCACAATCAATACAAAAGTGTATGGTTATGTTGGAGGGGAATATAAACATGGGAAGGAGAGGATTAAAATTGGCATTGGTATTTGGGAGGAGTTTATGGAGATTTTCAGGAGCTGATTTGTGTCGCTGTCTGCCGGGCAACAGATGCAAGTGTCAATTCTCAGGTTGGTTTAAGAGAGTAAGACGGCGATATAGTAGAAGGCAGGGTTCACAACTCTCGCCAAGTATGCTCCCCAATTTATCAACACCACTGAAGAGAAGTGCAATCATTTCTTGTGAGGTTTAAGGGATAGTATATGGTACTCATTAGTGTCATTTCATATTTATGTTTTTTTTTTAGCTCATAGAAAAAGCTAGGCTGTTAGAGAATGATTTGTCCCAAGAATGATGGGATGCTAGTAGGAAGTGGTTTGTAAAGCATCTATTATTGTATAGAAATTTCTATAAATATTAGCATATTCTTAAAAATGTATTAAATAGTGTGCAATTTAAAATGCCCTTGAAATTTATATTTTTCTTGTCAATGTAAACAGAACATTGCAACACTTCCAAGGGGATTCCTACTTTTTTTTTTTTTCAAATTTCAAACCACATCCCTCTATGATAAAATTAAGCACAAAATAACTCTAAAATTCATAAAGATATAATAGTTACTTAATGAACTCATAATTCTTACTACATTTTATTCAAGTCAACACACATAGACTCAGTACTATAGAAGTGATCATTAGATTCTTCCCTCCTTAGTCATTCTCTTCACTATAAGTTACCAATCAGAATAGATCTGGATAAATATATCTGATCTCAACGACTTTCTCTCAGGTTGCTTTTATTTTCAACCTATGCTTTTATTAAATTTTAACCATAACAATTTGTTTATTTCTTAATTATTTCACATCATAAGCCAAAACACATTTAGGGGCTGTTTGGTAGAATCTAGGATTTCATTTAAGTAGAATTTCGTAAATCCTCCAAATCCAGATTTTCAAAATCCTGGGGGGGTTAAATCCTGAAAACTGTTTAGTAACATTTATGATAAATCCAGTTAAATCAAATGTGACTGTTTGGCTGTTCAATTTAGGATTTAAGGCGATTAAAAGAATTGACATACATTATTAGGACAATTAAAGCACAACAAGAAAAGTTTAAATAAAATATAACAAAACTTTATTAATACTAATTAATTATTTAATTATTATTTATAATATTTTATAATAATTATTTTTATTTTAGATCATATTTAATCCTATTAATTATTTAGAAATAACTAAGTATTTAACTATTAATTTTATCAATTATTTAAATATTATTTAATTAATTTCACTTAATTATTAATATTTTAAATTATATAAATTAAATTATCGAACAATTAGAAGTGTCTAAGTTTTACTTTTCCCTCCTGTATTTCGTTCGGCTTTGTTCCTTCGCACGAATATAGAATTTTTCACGAGTTCTTCATCGTCGTCATTCGACTTTGCTCCTTCGACGACATTACCTTCCTGTTGGATTGGAAGGTACGACATTTTTTTGATCTGAAGCAACAATGGGAGCTCGCTTGCTGTGAAGGTAACTTTCTCCCTTTCGCGCGCTTCTTCGGCCAAATCCCGTAAATCCGCCGAACCAAAGGATTTCGTAAATCCGGGATTTACCACGAAAAGAGGGAATTTTTCGTCAACCACGGTTTTCATTTACCGTGAGATTTGATTTTGCATTTTAGGTCGTTTGGCTGGATTTCGCCCAAATCCTGCCTTAAATCCGGCCTAAATCCGCATATCAAACAGCCCCTTAGGTTCTTTCCTATAAGTCAAATTAGATCGTACTTTCAGTTCATCCTCAAAAACTCTTTGTTCTTCTTTAGAAACTCATTTCCTTAATGTAATTATGTAAACACATGCAACACATCATACACATCGTTAAATTTGTACATTTTATATAATCACATCCATCACAGATGCCACGCTTCAGAAAAATCTCATAATTTTTCTTTTATTTTAATGGCATCTATTTTAATTTTATAAAATTAGTATAACTTTTAATATTTAATATGTAGAAACGTATGTAACAACTACCAAAATTTAACATATCTTATCAACAAAAAATCACAAAATTAAAATATATAAATTTCATTTTTTTTCTAGGCACCAAATCAAACAAAGAGGATATGATTACAGTAATTTTGAAGGACAACTAGCACTTAGTTATCTCTGCTCCTACGGTCATGAAACCGTCGCATAATATCATTGCAGCACATTGCAATCACAAATAAGACTGCAGCGGTTTTAAAACCACCGCAAGAAAATTTCTGTCCGTTATAACCGTCCGAAAAAGTCTAAACTTGATCTGTAATAGACCTATTTTTTGGTAGATATAGTCTACCAAAACATAGGAAGATCAAGTAAAACCAGCGGCTGGAATAGCTACCACAGTAAGAGGCACCTTCTTGTGACTCACCATCCTGAACCCCTCACTCAAGTCCATCTCTTCACACCTCATCCCACACGGCAATTCCCAATCAAATCCATTCAAAACATTAGCAAGCGCAAGCTCAACGGCTACCACACCAAGCATCATACCAGGACAAATTCGTCTCCCTGCACCAAATGGTATGAACTCAAAATGGTGCCCCTTGAAATCAACACCGTCCCTCATCTTCTCAAATCTCTCTGGTCGAAAAGCCTCCGGCTCTTCACTCCAAACCTTTGCGTCCCTTCCAATGGCCCAAGCATTTATAAAGACCCTCGTCTTTGTCAGAATATCGTAGCCATTAATCTTTGTGTCTATGATGCATTCATGGGGGAGAAGTAATGGGCCAGGAGGATGAAGACGAAGGGTCTCTTTAACAACATTGTGCAGATAAGGGAGGTACTGAAGGTCGGCGTCTTCAACCTTTCCCTTATCTTTGGCTACTCGACGCACCTCTTCTTGTGCCTTGCGCATGGATTTAGGATTCTTAATCAGTTCAGCCATAGCCCACTCCAAGGTGATTGCGGCAGGATTAGTACCTGCTAAGAACATGTCCTGAAAATACACACATGGAAGTAGATTGTTGAACTGCCTTAGATCGAGCTCAAAATATTTTTAAAATTAGATTTTAATTATTAATAGAAAAGTAAATTAGTCTATTTTATAAGAATTCCTTTTTATTATATATATTGATAGTTATCATGTTAAGAAAACAATGCCTTATAAAGCATTCCAATTTATATAATAAAATATTAAGAGACGACATAAACGAGTAGCAAAAAATACATTTTTGGTTAAGACCAGACCTAATATTACTATATAAAATATATCCATGAAGTTTAATATGTTATTCAATTAAAGAAAAAATATTTCACATATATAAATTAAAATTTTAAATATTCCATCAAATTGTTTCATTCATACTTAAAACCTAAATTAACAGCTTAGTACAAAACTTTTAATTTATAAGATATACTCTATCTTTATATTCTGAAAATATTGAATGATTCTTTTATTATCAATACAATTAAATATTTCTCTTAATATAAATGATTAAAATATCACTTATTTATTAATCTCTAGTTATATTTTATAATTAGTTTTTTATAATAGTCAAAGTAAAAAAATACTTTAAACTTATATTACGTGCATATTATTGCGTCCTAGAGTATTCGCGACGATAAAGAAATATAGAATTTAACGTCTTAACGTTGTACGAAAATCCAGCACGTAATCAGATAAGAGAGGGGGTGTAGCATTTATGAGACACCAAGATTTTTACGTGGAAAACCCATGAAAAGGGGGAAAAACCACGGGGCTTAGCCTAGTTTGAATGAATCCATTAGTATTACAATTGATTACAAATGAGGCCCTTCCTAAGGTGAAGGCCTTAACTCGATGTACATCTTATAGAGTACATTACATTATGTGAATACAAAGAATTAATCATTGTTTATGTGCTTGTTTGGTCGGACGGACTGTAGTCGGTGGGCGACGTAAGTAAGAAGGATCGTAGTTGGCGGGCGACAGACGTCGGAAGGACTGTATTCGGTGTGCGACGTAAGTCAGAAGGGTCGTAGTCGGCGGGAGATGGAGGTCGGAAGGACTATTGTCTGATGATGGAGATCAAAAGGACGACATCAAGTAGAAGTACAGCTATGGATAGAAATCTCACATTGGATAGTTATCCAGCAAAAGTCCAACAACAGACAGCTGTCCAGTGTGTAAAACCCCTCCGAATTTCATATTTTTGGGTGCAGTTAGTCTGTACAAACTGACCTTAGTACGGGAAGAATTGAAGAAAATTCTGAAAAATTTGTATGGTTTGTATGGACGAACTGCCTATACGAACTGAGTAAAATGCAGGTTCGTCAGGATGAACCTGAGTTCGTCCGGGATAAATTTTTGCCCGAGAGCATCTTCTAGGGACGAAATCCATCATCGTCTGTGCGATCTGTGTCCAGAGAGTTTCGTCCCGGGATGAATGGAAAACATCATCGGGACGATCGAGTTCATTAAATAGATGATTTGATATTTTGAGATATTTTTGAAGAGAGAGAAAGATGGAGAGAGAAAGAGAAGGAAAAGGCTTAGTTTCGGAGGCGGCGGAGCGATTTTCGTCCGACATCGCTTTTAGAAGAATTGTTTGTTTCACTATAAGGAATCTGAATCCTATTTCTGATTTCGAATATTTCGTGTTTTGATATTTTTCTGCTCAGTTTTGTGTTTCAGTTACAGAAATTCTTGTGTATCTTTGTATTGACGAAACTTTTACCGCGTAACTTTTGGTATGTTATAGAAATGATGATTTTGCACAATTTGATTGTTTTTTGGGAAGTTTTCACCAAATATTTTGAATTCTGTGGGATTTTTATCGAATAGAAAATTATCCGGATGTTGAAAAATATTGCTTCAGTACAAGTAAAGTCTTGAAATGATGTTAATTTTATCCGATTTATAGTAATTTGGTAATTTTCTGAAACTGTGTATTTTGATCCTGTTTGAGATTTATGTCGACTGTACAACATTTTAAGGATTTTTTTCAATTGAGTTAAATCATGTTTATTGATTGCAATGTATTAATGAGATGTATACGAATGTGGATATATGATTAAAATTAATGTTATATTATTGAAAGACAAGTAAATATTAGTTGAACCGTTGGTTGGAGATTGATTGACCTATACAGGATGGGTGGCCGACGGGCTTTCCTTTAAAAAGGGTTTGGTGTTATCCTCTATTGATCATGTGATATAACGATTGGGAGTCGATCATAAGGACATTATGTCGACGGGCGGCCGACTAGCGAAGAGTGACGACTCTATTATTGAGCCAATGGATACAACGATACATCGATATTAACCTTGAAAAACGTCTTAATAGCTAGTGATTGTACTTATTAAGTAAGACTACTGTACTAGAGTGCATGTGTAAAGTATTGTTCGTATGATTTCTTTATGGATTTATTAATTACCATATTAATTTATTGATATCATTGGATTTACTGATATTGAATTTATTATTGATGAATGGATTTGTTGATGGATTTACGGGTTTACTGTTACGGCATGATTTTATTGATATTGCATACTATACATGTCACTGGATATTGATATTGCATTGATTCATTGATACTACGGATACCGATGTTATTGATTCATCGATATTATAGAATCATTGATACCATTGATTCATTAATACACCAAATATTGATTTGCTTCATGTGATATATAATATATTTTTTTCTTAATATTGATTTGATTTTAACTGTTCTTACGATGTATTGATTTGATTGTTTTATATAATTTCATACCGATTGATATTATTAACTGGAGATGGTTTCTTTATTCAATGATTAAATTGATTCTATTGATGCGATTGATTGATGTTATTTTTCTCCTTAGTATAGAAGAAAAATTTTTTGTTGCAAATCTACTTTTTCATAGCTTATGTTTTGATGATTGACAAACACTATCTCTCTTGGACTACTTGTTGCTTCTAACTTTTTAGGAATCGAAGATCAGACGATCAAGAGGAAGCCAAGTCCAGGATCGCGTAGGTTTAGGGTTGAGTCAGTCTGTAATTTTATTTTTCACCTTTTGAGTCTACTTGTAAGAATCAAAAAGACTGATGCTAAGTAACCCGTCACACACACACTTGAGAGGCTTAGAAATTCTGTTTTTGCCCACATCGGCCCGGCCGATATTTATATCGTCCGGGACGATCAGCTTAAAATAAAAAGTCTAATTAAAGATTCTTAATTAAGGCAGCCGACATTAACATATCGGCCTGGACGATACGTGTATCGGCCAGGACGATAAGCTCAAAATAGAAAGAGATAGCCGCCTTAGACAGTTTAGGCATACTAAATTTTAAATTATAGTCCAGGATGATTCCAGGATCGGCCTGGACGAAATTACCAAATTATGCCTTAATTGATCAGAAAATCAAGGGAGTAATTAAGGATGATTGATACGATCATATCGTCCAAGACGATCGTGAGATCGGCCTGGACGATCAAGCCAAATTTCAATCAGCCAGGACTGTTCCCAGGGCTGTGCTCAGGACAATTTACCTCTGATTTGAGCTAATCGGCCAGGAAGATCGTGAGATCGGCCTGGACGATCAAGCCAAATTTCAATCGTCCAGGACTATTCCCAGGGCTGTGCTCTGGCCGATCTTCCTTGATTTGTACTAATCGGCCAGGCCGATGTCCATATCGGCCGGGACGATAAAGTCGGCTACTTGCAATTAATGAGCTCCTCTTGAGCTCTTCTATTTAAAGAGCTCTTCTTCAACGTTTTTAAGAGACCTTTGGCTGCTGCCTTGACCTGAGAAGACCTTGAGGAGAGAAAGAGAGAGAGGGAGAGAGAGAGGATCTTGTGAGGGGGAGCTTGTGAGGGGATTCACAATGGTTGCTCAAGGATTGCTCTGCTTGTCTTTCGTCTGGAGTTTCTCATCCGTGAAAGGGTCGGTAGAGGTAAGGAGTTTTGCTTTTGGTTGTGGTTCTCTGCCAGCTTCAGAAGGAAGCAAACGGAGGTAGGTTCTCTGCCTTGCCGGGGTGGCAAAAAGGAGTTTCTTGTGAGGGCTTCTCCGCCTAGCTGTGGGGGCTAAAGGAGAGTCACGTTTTGTAGTGCAATACTTGGAGGGTGCCTCCAAGGAGTGGACGTAGGTCTAGTCGACCGAACCACTATAAATCTTGTGTTCTTATTTTTGCTTCCGCACCTTTAAATTCCGCATTTGGTTTGGTGGTGTGATTTGGTTTGTAAATTTATTTCTTTGTCTCAAGAATTTTTAAAATACCAATTCACCCCCCCTCTTGGTTAGCTTGGGACTAAGTTCATAGGGCTTAACATCCCGAACGAACTTTCATTTTTCTCCTTCAACTATCGTCTTCTCTATCAATATTCTTACAGTCAAGGTATTCTGTTATTTTTTGTAGGTGATTTTCCCTACTTAAATCAACGCCCCTCCTCTTGTACAGAAGTTAAATTTTTTGCAGATGTTTCTTTTCTTTTTTATTCCCTCATTTTAACTTTCTTATAATTGAGGTATTTTCTGTTTATTGTAAGCGGCATCCCCTACTAAAATTCAGGGCCCCTCTCCATTTGTAGAAATTAAAATTTTTCCAACATTTTATTTTCTTATCTTCTATTTTTCTTCTTATATTAGAGGCATTTTATTGTCAGAGATAGGTGGTATTCCCTTATCAAGCTTCAGTGCCCATCTTCTATATAGGAGTCACAATGAGAGGCTATCTTCTTAATAGATAACCTTTGATAGAAAAAGATCAATTGCTACTTGTATGCGAGAGTGATTTGAGAAGATCAGACGATAATAGTATCCGGGAGGAGAACCAGAAGTGATGAGTAGACAAGGCGAATTTCAACGTCATTTAAGTGAAAGTATGTTGGCGATGGACGATCGAGCTGAAGTCCCTTGGCAGTCAACAGACGAGTAGAGAACTGAAGGAGAAAGTTTAAGAGTGTGCTACAAGTAGTAGTCGAGCGATCATCTGATGATGATTGATATGAAGTAAAGGATCGCTGGCAGAT